CCCAGGGTGGGCCCATTGAACTCCAGGTGGTTCCAGGTGACCGTAGATGGTTCCAGGTGGTACCTGGTGACACCTGAGCTCACCTGTGGCACACCTGTCTGGTTCAGAAGCTGCAGCAGGAGCTGGAGTTCCTGGAGGTGCAGGAGGTGCAGGAGGGGCTGAGCCCCCCTGGGGTGGTCCCATTGAACTCCAGGTGACCGTAGATGGTTCCAGGTGACTGTAGATGATACCTGGACACACCTGAGGTTACCTGTTCTCACCTGTGTGGTGCAGAAGCTGCAGCAGGAGCTGGAGTTCCTGGAGGTGCAGGAGGAGCAGGAGGGGCTGAGCCCCCCGGGGTGGTCCCATTGAACTCCAGGTGACCGTAGATGGTTCCAGGTGACTGTAGATGATACCTGGACACACCTGGTCACACCTGTTCTCACCTGTCTGGAGTAGAAGCTGCAGCAGGAGCTGGAGTTCCTGGAGGTGCAGGAGGAGCAGGAGGGGCTGAGCCCCCCTGGGGTGGTCCCATTGAACTCCAGGTGACCGTAGATGGTTCCAGGTGACCGTAGATGGTTCCAGGTGACTGTAGATGATACCTGGGCACACCTGAGCTCACCTGGGCACACCTGTCTGGTGCAGAAGCTGCAGCAGGAGCTGGAGTTCCTGGAGGTGCAGGAGGAGCAGGAGGGGCTGAGCTCTCGGGTGGTCCCATTGAACTCCAGGTGGTTCCAGGTGACCGTAGATGGTTCCAGGTGATACCTGGTCACACCTGGTCACACCTGTCCATACCTGTCCATCCCAGAAGCTGCAGCAGGAGCTGGAGTTCCTGGAGGTGCAGGAGGAGCAGGAGGGGCTGAGCCCCCCGGGGTGGTCCCATTGAACTCCAGGTGACCGTAGATGGTTCCAGGTGACCGTAGATGATACCTGGTCACACCTGAGCTCACCTGTCCATACCTGTCCATCCCAGAAGCTGCAGCAGGAGCTGGAGTTCCTGGAGGTGCAGGAGGAGCAGGAGGGGCTGAGCCCCCCTGGGGTGGTCCCATTGAACTCCAGGTGGTTCCAGGTGACCGTAGATGGTTCCAGGTGACTGTAGATGATACCTGGGCACACCTGGTCACACCTGTCCATACCTGTCCGTTCCAGAAGCTGCAGCAGGAGCTGGAGTTCCTGGAGGTGCAGGAGGAGTACATCAAGGACGAGCAGAGGAACCTGAAGAAGGAGTTCCTGCACGCCCAGGAGGAGGTGAAGCGGATCCAGAGCATCCCCCTCGTCATCGGCCAGTTCCTCGAGGCCGTCGACCAGAACACCGCCATCGTCGGCTCCACCACAGGTACGGGGTCACCTGGGCACACCTGGACACACCTGGGCACACCTGGGCACAGGTACAGCACACCTGGGCACACCTGGGGGCCGTGGGGGGGTGGGGCAGTTCCTCGAGGCCGTCGACCAGAACACCGCCATCGTGGGATCCACCACAGGTACGGCACACCTGGGCACACCTGGGGGTGATATCACACACCTGGGCACAGGTACAGCTCACCTGGGCACAGGTACAGCACACCTGGGCACACCTGGGGGGGGGCAGTTCCTCGAGGCCGTCAACCAGAACACCGCCATCGTGGGATCCACCACAGGTACGGGCACACCTGGGCACACCTGGAGACACCTGGGGGTGATATCACACACCTGGGCACACCTGGGCACACCTGGGCACACCTGGGGGCCGTGGGGGGGGTGGGGCAGTTCCTCGAGGCCGTCGACCAGAACACCGCCATCGTGGGATCCACCACAGGTACAGGGTCACCTGGGCACACCTGGGCACACCTGGGCACACCTGGGCACACCTGGGCACTCCTGGGCACACCTGGGCACACCTGGGCACACCTGGGGGTGATATCACACACCTGGGCACACCTGGGCACACCTGGGGGCCGTGGGGGGGGTGGGGCAGTTCCTCGAGGCCGTCGACCAGAACACCGCCATCGTCGGATCCACCACAGGTATGGGGTGATATCACACACCTGGGCACACCTGGGCACAGGTACAGCACACCTGGGCACACCTGGGGGTGATATCACACACCTGGGCACACCTGGGCACAGGTACAGCTCACCTGGGCACACCTGGGCACACCTGGGGGCCGTGGGGGGGTGGGGCAGTTCCTCGAGGCCGTCGACCAGAACACCACCATCGTGGGATCCACCACAGGTATGGGGTGATATCACACACCTGGGCACACCTGGGGGTGATATCACACACCTGGGCACACCTGGGCACACCTGGGGGTGATAACACACACCTGGGCACACCTGGGCACACCTGGGCACAGGTACAGCTCACCTGGGCACACCTGGGGGTGATATCACACCCCTGGGCACACCTGGGCACACCTGGGGGTGATATCACACACCTGGGCACACCTGGGCACACCTGGGGGCCGTGGGGGGGTGGGGCAGTTCCTCGAGGCCGTCGACCAGAACACCGCCATCGTCGGCTCCACCACAGGTATGGGGTCACCTGGGCACACCTGGGCACACCTGGGGGTGATATCACACACCTGGGCACACCTGGGCACACCTGGGCACAGGTGCAGCTCACCTGGGCACACCTGGGCACACCTGGGGTGATACACACCTGGGCACACCTGGGCACAGGTACAGCTCACCTGGACACACCTGGGCACACCTGGGGGTGATATCACACACCTGGGCACAGGTACAGCTCACCTGGGCACACCTGGGGGTGATATCACACACCTGGGCACACCTGGGCACAGGTACAGCTCACCTGGGCACACCTGGGGGTGATATCACACACCTGGGCACACCTGGGGGTGATATCACACACCTGGGCACAGGTACAGCTCACCTGGGCACACCTGGGCACACCTGGGTGACACCTGGGTGACACCTGGGCACACCTTTTCCCCATGTGACCCATTTTGGGGTGTTTTTGGGTTAATTTTAGGTGTTTTTGGGTGTTTTAGGCTCCAACTCCTCCGTGCGCATCCTGAGCACGATCGACACCCCCACACACACCTGGGCACACCTGGGCACACCTGGGTGACACCTGGGTGACACCTGGGCACACCTGAACCATTTTGGGGTGTTTTTGGGGTGGTTTTGGGTTAATTTTGGGTGTTTTTGAGGTGTTTTTGGGTGTTTTAGGGTCCAACTCCTCCGTGCGCATCCTGAGCACGATCGACACCCCCACACACACCTGGGCACACCTGGGCACACCTGGGTGACACCTGTACCTAAATGAGCCATTTTTGAGTTAATTTTAGGTGGTTTTGGGTTAATTTTGGGTGTTTTTGGGTGTTTTTGGGTTCCAGGCTCCAACTACTACGTGCGCATCCTGAGCACGATCGACACCCCCACACCCACCTGGGCACACCTGGGTGACACCTGGGCACACCTGAACCATTTTGGGGTGTTTTTTAGGGATTTTTGGGTTAATTTTGGGTGTTTTTGGGTGTTTTAGGGTCCAACTACTACGTGCGCATCCTGAGCACGATTGACACCCCCACACACACCTGGGCACACCTGGGCACACCTGGGTGACACCTGGGCACACCTGGGCACACCTGTGCCCAGATGAACCATTTCTGAATTAATTTTTGGGTGTTTTTGGGTTAATTTGGGTTAATTTTGGGTGTTTTAGGGTCCAACTCCTCCGTGCGCATCCTGAGCACGATCGACACCCCCCCACACACCTGGGCACACCTGGGGCACACCTGTGCCCAGATGAACCATTCCTGAATTAATTTTTAGGTAATTTTGGGTTAATTTTGGGTGTTTTTCGGTCCCAGGCTCCAACTCCTCCGTGCACATCCTGAGCACGATCGACACCCCCACACACACCTGGGCACACCTGGGTGACACCTGGGTACACCTGTGCCCAGATGACCCATTTTGGGTTGTTTTTGGGTTAATTTTAGGGGTTTTTGGGTTAATTTTGGGTTAATTTTGGGTTAATTTTGGGTGTTTTAGGGTCCAACTCCTCCGTGCACATCCTGAGCACGATCGACACCCCCACACACACCTGGGCACACCTGGGTGACACTGGGCACACCTGGGCACACCTGGGTGACACTGGGACATACCTGAACCATTTTGGGGTGTTTTGGGGGTGTTTTTGGGTTAATTTTGGTTAATTTTGGGTGTTTTTGAGGTGTTTTTGGGTGTTTCAGGGTCCAACTCCTCCGTGCGCATCCTGAGCACGATCGACACCCCCACACACACCTGGGCACACCTGGGTGACACCTGGGGCACACCTGGGCACACCTGTGCCCACATGAACCATTTTTGAATTAGTTTTTGGGTAATTTTGGGTTAATTTTGGGTGTTTTTGAGGTGTTTTTGGGTGTTTTAGGCTCCAACTCCTCCGTGCGCATCCTGAGCACGATCGACACCCCCCCACACACCTGGGCACACCTGGGCACACCTGGGTGACACTGGGACCCACCTGAGCCATTTTGGGGTGTTTTGGGGGTACTTTTGGGTTAATTTTGGGTGTTTTTGGGTGTTTTAGGCTCCAACTCCTCCGTGCGCATCCTGAGCACGATCGACACCCCCACACACACCTGGGCACACCTGGGGCACTCCTGGGCACACCTGGGCACACCTGGGTGACACCTGTACCTTAATGAGCCATTTTGGGGTGTTTTTGGGTTAATTTTTAGATAATTTTGGGTTAATTTGGGGTGGTTTTGGGTGTTTTAGGCTCCAACTCCTCCGTGTGCATCCTGAGCACGATCGACACCCCTGCACACACCTGGGCACACCTGGGCACACCTGGGTGACATCTGTGTCCAGATGAGCCATTTTTGAATTAGTTTTTGGGTAATTTTGGGGTAATTTTGGGTGTTTTTGGGTGTTTTAGGCTCCAACTCCTCCGTGCGCATTCTGAGCACGATCGACACCCCCACACACACCTGGGCACACCTGGGCACACCTGGGGTACACCTGTGCCCAGATGAGCCAATTTTGGGGTGTTTTTGGGTTAATTTGGGGTGTTTTTGGGTTAATTTTGGGTGTTTTAGGGTCCAACTCCTCCGTGCGCATCCTGAGCACGATCGACACCCCCCCACACACCTGGGCACACCTGGGCACACCTGGGTGACACCTGGGCACACCTGGGCACACCTGGGCACACCTGGGTGACACTGAGACCCACCTGAGCCATTTTGGGGTGTTTTTGGGGTGTTTTTGGGTTAATTTTGGGTGTTTTTGGGTGTTTTAGGCTCCAACTCCTCCGTGCGCATCCTGAGCACGATCAACACCCCTGCACACACCTGGGCACACCTGGGCACACCTGGGCACACCTGGGTGACACCTGTACCTAAATGAGCCATTTTGGGGTGTTTTTTGGTTAATTTTAGGTGTTTTTGGGTTAATTTTGGGTGTTTTTTGGGTTAATTTTGGGTGTTTTAGGGTCCAACTCCTCCGTGCGCTTCCTGAGCACGATCGAGACACCCCCACACACACCTGGGCACACCTGGGTGACACCTGGGGCACACCTGTGCCCAGATGAACCAATTTTGGGGTGTTTTTTTGGTTAATTTTAGGTGTTTTTGGGGTAATTTTGGGTGTTTTTGGGTTAATTTTGGGTGTTTTTGGGTGTTTTGGGTCCAACTCCTCCGTGCGCATCCTGAGCACGATCGACACCCCCACACACACCTGGGCACACCTGGGGCACACCTGGGCACACCTGGGTGACACCTGGGCACACCTGGGGCACACCTGGGCACACCTGTGCCCAGATGAACCAATTTTGGGGTGTTTTTGGGTTAATTTTGGGTTAATTTTGGGTTTTTTTGGGTCCCAGGGTCCAACTACTACGTGCGCATCCTGAGCACGATCGACACCCCCACACACACCTGGGCACACCTGGGTGACACCTGGGCACACCTGGGTGACATTGGACACACCTGAACCATTTTGGGGTGGTTTTGGGTTAATTTGGGGTAATTTTGGTTAATTTTGGGTTAATTTTGGGTGTTTTTGGGTGTTTTAGGCTCCAACTCCTCCGTGCGCATCCTGAGCACGATCGACACCCCCACACACACCTGGGCACACCTGGGCACACCTGGGCACACCTGGGTGACACTGGGACACACTTGAGCCATTTTGGGGTGTTTTGGGGGTATTTTTGGGTTAATTTTGGGTGTTTTTGGGTGTTTTAGGCTCCAACTCCTCCGTGCGCATCCTGAGCACGATCGACACCCCCACACACACCTGGGCACACCTGGGTGACACCTGGGCACACCTGGGCACACCTGGGCACACCTGGGTGACACTGAGACCCACCTGAGCCATTTTGGGGTGTTTTGGGGTTAATTTTAGGTGTTTTTAGGTTAATTTTGGGTTGATTTTGGGTTAATTTGGGGTGTTTTTGGGTGTTTTTGGGTGTTTTAGGGTCCAACTCCTCCGTGCGCATCCTGAGCACGATCGACACCCCCACACACACCTGGGCACACCTGGGTGACACCTGGGTGACACCTGGGCACACCTGAACCATTTTGGGGTGTTTTTGGGGTGGTTTTGGGTTAATTTTGGGTGTTTTTGGGGTGTTTTTGGGTGTTTTAGGGTCCAACTCCTCCGTGCGCATCCTGAGCACGATCGACACCCCCACACACACCTGGGCACACCTGGGTGACACCTGGGCACACCTGGGTGACACTGGGACACACCTGAACCATTTTGGGGTGTTTTAGGGGTGTTTTTCAGGTAATTTTTGGGTTAATTTGGGGTGTTTTTGGGTCCCAGGCTCCAACTACTACGTGCGCATCCTGAGCACGATCGACCGGGAGCTGCTGAAGCCGAACGCGTCGGTGGCGCTGCACAAGCACAGCAACGCCCTGGTGGACGTCCTGCCCCCCGAGGCCGACTCCAGCATCATGATGCTCACCTCAGGTGGGCACCTGGGCACACCTGCCCACACCTGGGGGGCATTTCGAGTCATTTTGGGGCATTTTGTGATGATTTGGGGTCATTTTGTGATGATTTGGGATCACCAGACCCCATTTGGGGTCACCCCTTGGGGCCCTGGGGGACGTCCTGCCCCCCGAGGCCGACTCCAGCATCGTGATGCTCACCTCAGGTGGGCACCTGGGCACACCTGGGCACACCTGGGGGGCGTTTTGGGGGGATTTGTGGTGATTTGGGGTGGTTTTGGGGTCATTTGGGGTGACCCCACAACACCCTGTTGGACGTCCTGCCCCCCGAGGCCGACTCCAGCATCGTGATGCTCACCTCAGGTGGGCACCTGGGCACACCTGCCCACACCTGGGCACACCTGGGGGGCGTTTTGGGGGGATTTGGGGGGATTTGGGGTGATTTGGGGTGGTTTTGGGGTCATTTGGGGTCACCCCTTGGGGCCCTGGGGGACGTCCTGCCCCCCGAGGCCGACTCCAGCATCATGATGCTCACCTCAGGTGGGCACCTGGGCACACCTGGGGGGTGTTTCGGGTCATTTTGGGGGGATTTGTGATGATTTGGGGTGGATTTGGGGTCATTTGGGGTGACCCCGCAACGCCCTGGTGGACGTCCTGCCCCCCGAGGCCGACTCCAGCATCATGATGCTCACCTCAGGTGGGCACCTGGGCACACCTGGGCACACCTGGGAGGCGTTTCGGGGTCATTTTGGGTGGATTTGTGGTGATTTGGGATCATTTTGGGTGGTTTTGGGGTCACCAGACCCCATTTGGGGTCAAGCAGGTGACCTGGGGGAGCTCCAGGTGACCCCAGATAGGTCCTAGGTGGTCTCAGGTGACCCCAGGTGGTCCCAGGTGGTCCCAGATGACCCCAGGTGGGTCAGGTGACCCCAGGTGGTCCCAGATGACCCCTGTGACCCCCCCAGACCAGAAGCCGGACGTGATGTCCGTGGTGACCCCAGGTGGTCCCAGATGACCCCAGGTGGTCCCAGATGACCCTGGGTGGTCTCAGGTGACCCCAGATGATCTGAGGTGGTCTCAGGTGGTCTCAGATGACCCCAGGTGGTCTCAGGTGACCCCTGTGACCCCCCCAGACCAGAAGCCGGACGTGATGTCCGTGGTGACCCCAGGTGGTCCCAAATGACCCCAGGTGGTCCCAGATGACCTGGGATGGTCCCAGGTGGGTCAGATGACCCCAGGTGGTCCCAGGTGGGTCAGATGACCCCAGGTGACCCCAGATGATCTGAGGTGACCCCAGGTGACCCCAGATGACCCCTTGGTGCCCCCCCAGACCAGAAGCCGGACGTGATGTCCGTGGTGACCCCAGGTGGTCCCAGGTGACCCCAGATCATCTGAGGTGGCCCCAGGTGGTCTCAGTTGACCCCTTGATGACCCCCCAGACCAGAAGCCGGACGTGATGTCCGTGGGGGCCCCAGGTGGTCCCAGATGACCCCAGGTGGGTCAGATGACCCCAGGTGACCCCAGGTGGTCCCAAATGACCCCAGATGATCTGAGGGGGTCTCAGATGACCCCAGATGACCCCTGTGACCCCCCCAGACCAGAAGCCGGACGTGATGTCCGTGGTGACCCCAGGTGGTCCCAGATGACCTGGGATGGTCCCAGATGACCCTGAGTGGTCTCAGATGACCCTGGGTGACCCCAGGTGACCCCAGATGACCCCAGGTGACCCCAGATGATCTGAGGTGACCCCAGGTGGTCTCAGGTGACCCCTTTTAACCCCCCCAGACCAGAAGCCGGACGTGATGTACGCCGACATCGGGGGCATGGACATCCAGAAGCAGGAGGTGCGCGAGGCCGTCGAGCTGCCCCTCACCCACTTCGAGCTCTACAAGCAGGTGAGACCCCCAAAATAAACCCAAATTACCCCAAAATTACCCCAAAATTACCCTGAGACCCCCCCAGCTGCCCCTCACCCACTTCGAGCTTTACAAGCAGGTGAGACCCCCAGAGACCCCCCAAAATTACCCTGAGACCCCCCCAGCTGCCCCTCACCCACTTCCAGCTCTACAAGCAGGTGAGACCCCAAAACTGACCCCAAAAGACCCCAAAATCACCCCAAAATTACCCTGAGACCCCCCCAGCTGCCCCTCACCCACTTCGAGCTCTATAAACAGGTGAGACCCCAAAATAACCCAAAATAACCCAAAATTACCCAAAAATTACCCCAAAATTACCCTGAGACCCCCCCAGCTGCCCCTCACCCACTTTGAGCTCTACAAACAGGTGAGACCCCCTGAGAACCCCAAAATAACCCAAAATTACCCAAAAATAACCCCCAAAATTACCCTGAGACCCCCCCAGCTGCCCCTCACCCACTTTGAGCTCTACAAGCAGGTGAGACCCCCAAAACTGACCCCAAAATAACCCCAAAATCACCCCAAAATTACCCTGAGACCCCCCCAGCTGCCCCTCACCCACTTCGAGCTCTACAAACAGGTGAGACCCCCTGGGACCCCCAAAATAACCCCTGAGACCCCCAAAATTACCCTGAGACCCCCAAAATTACCCTGAGACCCCCCCAGCTGCCCCTCACCCACTGCGAGCTCTACAAACAGGTGAGACCCCCAGAGACCCCCCAAAATAACCCAAAATTACCCCAAAAATTACCCCAAAATTACCCTGAGACCCCCCCAGCTGCCCCTCACCCACTTCGAGCTCTACAAGCAGGTGAGACCCCCAAAACTGACCCCAAACTGACCCCAAAATAACCCCAAAATTACCCTGAGACCCCCAAAATTACCCCAGAATTACCCTGAGACCCCCCCAGCTGCCCCTCACCCACTTCAAGCTCTACAAGCAGGTGAGACCCCAGAGACCCCCAAAATCACCCAAAATCACCCCAAAATTACCCTGAGACCCCCCCAGCTGCCCCTCACCCACTTCGAGCTCTACAAGCAGGTGAGACCCCCAAAATCACCCCAAATTACCCCAAAATCACCCCAAAATGACCCTGAGACCCCCCCAGCTGCCCCTCACCCACTTCGAGCTCTATAAACAGGTGAGACCCCCAAAATAACCCCAAATAACCCAAAATTACCCCAAAATCACCCCAAAATCACCCCAAAATTACCCTGAGACCCCCCCAGCTGCCCCTCACCCACTGCGAGCTCTACAAGCAGGTGAGACCCCCAAAATAACCCAAAATTAACCCAAATTATTCCTGAGACCCCCAAAATAACCCCTGAGACCCCCAAAATCACCCCAAAATTACCCTGAGACCCCCCCAGCTGCCCCTCACCCACTTCGAGCTCTACAAGCAGGTGAGACCCCAGAGACCCCCAAAGTACCCTGAGACCCCAAAATACCCTGAGACCCCAAAATTACCCCAGAATTACCCTGAGACTCCCCAGCTGCCCCTCACCCACTTCGAGCTCTACAAGCAGGTGAGACCCCAAAACTGACCCCAAAATAACCCCAAAATTACCTGAGACCCCAAAATTACCCTGAGACCCCCCCAGCTGCCCCTCACCCACTTCGAGCTCTACAAGCAGGTGAGACCCCCAAAATCACCCCAAAATAACCCCAAAATTACCCCCCAAAATTACCCTGAGACCCCCAAAATTACCCTGAGACCCCCCCAGCTGCCCCTCACCCACTTCGAGCTCTACAAGCAGGTGAGACCCCCAAAACTGACCCCAAAATAACCCAAAATTACCCTGAGACCCCAAAATTACCCTGAGACCCCCAGCTGCCCCTCACCCACTTCGAGCTCTACAAACAGGTGAGACCCCAAAACTGACCCCAAAATAACCCAAAATTACCCTGAGACCTCCAAAATTACCCTGAGACCTCCCAGCTGCCCCCTCACCCACTTCGAGCTCTACAAACAGGTGAGACCCCCAAAATTACCCAAAATCACCCAAAATTACCCCCAAAACGACCCCAGAAGCCCCCAGTGACCCCCCAATGTTTTTGTGCCCCCAGATCGGGATCGACCCCCGGGGTTCTCATGTGCAGACCCCCAAAACAACCCCAGAATCCCCCAAACCAATCCCAAGACCCCAGAACCCCCAAAACAACCTCAAGACCCCCAAGTGACCCCAAGACCCCCAAAGTGACCCCAAGACCCCCAAAACAACCTCCAAGATGACCCCAAGACCCCCAAAGTGACCCCAAGCCCCCAAAGACCCTCAAGTGACCCCAAGACCCCCAAAGTCGACCCCAGAACTCCCGAAATGACCCCAAGATCCCCCAAAACGACCCCAGAACTCCCCAAATGACCCCAAGACCCCCAAAACGACCCCAATGACCCCCAGACGCCCCCAAGTGACCCCAAGACCCCCAAAGTGACCCCAAGCCCCCAAAGACCCCCAAGTGACCCCAAGACCCCCAAAACAACCCCAGAACCCCCAAAACAACCCCAGAACCCCCAAAACGACACCTCAGACCCCCAAACTGACCCAATCTCCCCAAGACCCCCAGTGACCCCCAATGTTTTGTGCCCCCAGATCGGGATCGACCCCCTGGGGGTTCTCATGTCCTAGACCCCCCAAAACAACCCCAAATCCCCCAAAACGACCCCCAGATGACTCCAAGACCCCTGAGATGACCCCAGAACCCCCAAGTGACCCCAAAATGCCCCCAAGGACCCCCTGAGATGATCCTTAGGACCCTCTGGATGACCCCAAGACCCCAAAGTGCCCCAGGACCCCTAAAATGCCCCCAGATGACCCCAAGGCCCCCTAAAGCACCCCAAGTGACCCCAAGACCCCCAAGAGCGACCCCAGATGCCCCAAGACCCCCAGTTGACCTCCAAGACCCCTGAAACAACACCAAAGCGACCCCAAGACCCCCAAACCACCCCAAGACCCCCAAAACAACCCCAGATCCCCCAAAATGACCCCAGAAGCCCCCAGTGACCCCCCGTGTGTTTTATGCCCCCAGATGGGATCGACCCCGAGAGTTCTCATGTCACAGACCCCCAAAACAACCCCAAGACCCCCAAAACAACCCCAAATCCCCAAGACAACCCCAAATCCCCCAAAACAACCCCAAGACCCCCCCAAACAACCCCAGATGACTCCAGGACCACCTGAGATGCCCCCAAGACCCCCAGATGCCCCCAAGTGACCCCAAGACCCCCAAAGCACTTTAGAACCCCCAAAACAACCCCAAGACCCCCAAACGACCCCCAAACCGACCCCAAGACCCCAAAGACACGACCCCAGAGACCCCAAGCCCCAGAAGCTGACGACCCCCAATGTCCTGAGCCCCCAGACCGGGAACGACCCCGGGACCCCAGTCTGACCCCCAAACAGACTCCAAATCCCCCAGAACAAATCAGACCCCCGAACCCCAACACAGACCTCAAGACCCCAAGAGACCCCAAGACTCCTCCCAAAGACCTAGGACCCCCAAGGCGAACCCCAGATGTACCCCAAGACCCCCAAAAGCGCCCAAGCCCTCAAACAGACCCCAGAAGCACCCAAGACCCCTCAAACGACCCCAAGACCCCTGAAATGACCCCAGAACCCCCAAGTGACCCCAAAATGCCCCCAAGACCCCCTGAGATGATCCCTAGGAACCTCTAGATGACCCCAAGACCCCCAAGTGACCCCAGAGACCCCTAAAATGCCCCCCAGATGACCCCAAGGCCCCTAAAGCCCCCAAGTGACCCCAAGACCCCCCAAACGACCCCCAGATGCCCCCAAGACCCCCAGTTGACCCCAAGACCCCATGAAACAACACCAAAACGACCCCAAGACCCCCAAACCACCCCAAGACCCCCAAAAACAACCCCAAATCCCCCAAAATGACCCCAGAAGCTCCCAGTGACCCCCGTGTGCTTGTGCCCCCCAGATGGGATCGACTCCGAGGTTCTCATGTACAGACCCCCAAAACAACCCCAAGACCCCCAAAACAACCCCAAATCCCCCAAAACAACCCCAAATCCCCAAAACAACCCCAAGACCCCCAAACAACCCCCCAGATGACTCCAGGACCACCTGAGATGCCCCCAAGACCCCCCCAGATGCCCCCCCCAGCGACCCCAAGACCCCCAAACGACCCCAGAACCCCCAAAACAACCCCAAGACCCCCAAGACGACTCCCCAAATGACCCCAAGACCCCAAATGACCCCCAGATGACCCCAAGACCCCCAGAAGCCCCCAGTGACCCCCAATGTTTTGTGCCCCCAGATCAGGATCGACCCCTAGGACCCTCATGTACAGACCCCCAAAGACCCCAGACCCCTCAAACCAACCCCAAGACTCTCAGAACCCCCAAAACAACCTCCAAGACCCCCAAGTGACCCCAAGACCCTCCAAAGTGACCCCAAGACCCCCAAAACAACCCCCAAGATGACCCCAAGACCCCCAAAGTGACCCCAAGCCCCCAAAAGACCCCTAGCAGTGACCCCAAGACCCCAGTGCCCCAAAGCGACCCCAAGACCCCCAAAATGACCCCAAGACCCCCAAACCGACCCAATCTCCCCCAGAAGCCCCCCCAGTGACCCCCCATGTTTTTGTGCCCCCCAGACTGGGATCGACCCCCGAGAGCTCTCATGTACAGACCTCCAAAACAACCCCAGAACCCCCAAACAACCCCAAGCCCCCAGAAACCCCAAAACAACCTCCAAGACCCCCAAGTGACCCCAAGACCCCCAAACAACCCCAAGACCCCCAAAGTGACCCCAAGACCCCCAAAGCGAGCCCAGAACCCCCAAAAGCGACTCCTTCAAGTGACCCCAAGACCCCCAAATGACTCCCAGATGACCCCAAGCCCCCAGAAGCCCCTCAAGGGACCCCAAGACCCCCAAAGTCACCCCAAGACCCCCAAAACAACCCCAAATCCCCCAAAACAACCCCAAGCCCCCAGAAGCCCCCCCCCAGTGACCCCCCGTAGGTTTTGTGTCCCCCAGATCGGGATCGACCCCTCAGGCTTCTCATCACAGACCCCCAAAACGACTCCCAGAACCCCTCAAGTGACTCCCAAGACCCCCAAGTGACTCCAAGACCCCCAAAACAACCCCAAGATGACTCCAAGACCCCCAGTGACCCAAGCCCCCAAAAGACCCCTAAGTGACCCCAAGACCCCCAAAACGACTCCCAGAACTCCTCGAAACGAGCTCAAGACCCCCAAAGTGACCCCAGATCCTTCTGAGATGACCCCAAGACTTCCCAGATGCCCCCAAGTGACTCCAAGACCCCCAAAACAACCCCAAGTGACCCCAAGACCCCTGAGATGCCCACAAGACCCCCAGATGCCCCCAGTGACCCCAAGACCCCCAAAACAACCCAAGACCCCCAAACTGATCTAATCTCTCAGAAGCCCCCACAGTGACCCCCAATGTTTTTGTGCCCCCAGATCGGGATCGACCACCCGGGGGTTCTCATGTACGGCCCCCGGCTGTGGGAAGACCATGCTGGCCAAGGCCGTGGCCCACCACACCACCGGTGAGGAGGGGGCTTCTGGGGGTTTTGGGGGGATTTGGGGGTCCTCAGGTCTTTTGGGGGTCTTTGAGGGGATTTTGGGGGCTGTGAGGGGTTTTTTTGGGTCTCTATGGGTTTTCAGGTCTTTTTGGGGGTCTTTGAGGGGCTTTGGTGGGGGTTTTGAGGGGATTTGGGGGGCTTTGAGGGTTCCTGAGGGGATTTGGGGGGCTTTGAGGGATTTGAGGGGCTTTGAGGGGGTTTTGAGGGGATTTTGAGGGACTTTGGGGGCTTTGAGGGATTTTGGGGGGTTTGGGGGGTTGAGGGATTTGGGGAGGTTGAGGATTTGGGGGCTTTGAGGGGGCTTTGGGGGCTTTGGGGATTTTGGGGGCTTTGAGGGTTTTGAGGGGATTTTGGGGGCTTTGAGGGGGCTTTGGGGATTGGGGGTTTTGAGGGATTTTGAGGGATTTGAGGGGCTTTGAGGATTTGGGGATTCTGGGGGACTTTGAGGGGGCTTTGAGGGATTTTGGGGATTTGGGGAATTGAGGACTTGGGGGATTTGGGGGATTTGAGGGGGTTTGGGGGCCTTGGGGGATTTGAGGGGTTGGGGCTTTAGGGGAATTGAGGGGACTTGGGGGGCTTTGAGGGATTTAGGGGGTTTGGGGGCTTTGAGGGGGTTTGAGGGGATTTTGGGGGGTTTTGGGGTTCCTAGTGGGGAATTTGGGTGTCCCTGGTTGTATTTTGGGGGTTCCTGATGCTATTTTGGAGGTTCCTGATGGAATTTTTGGTGTCCCTGGTTGTATTTTGGGTGTCCCTGGTGGTCTTTTTGGGTTCCTGGTGGTCCCATGAGATCCTGGTGGGTTCCTGATGGTCTTTTTGGGGTTCCTGATGCTATTTTTTGGGTCCCTGATGATATTTTGGGGCTCCCTGACGCCTTTCTGTGGGTTTTGCAGCCGCCTTCATCCGCGTGGTGGGCTCTGAGTTCGTCCAGAAGTACCTGGGGGAGGGCCCGAGGATGGTGCGGGACGTGTTCCGGCTGGCCAAGGAGAACGCGCCGGCCATCATCTTCATCGACGAGATCGACGCCATCGCCACCAAGAGATTCGATGCCCAGACTGGGGGTAAGGGGCATTTACAGACCCTACAGGGGGTTTAGAGATCCTAAAGGGAGATTTGGGGGTCCTGGGTGGGGTTTGGGGGCTCCAGGACACACCCAGCCATCATCTTCATCGACAGAGATCGACGCCATCGCCACCAAGAGATTCGATGCCCAGACTGGGGTGAGACCCTAAAGGGGCATTTACAGACCCTAAAGGGGGATTTGGGGGTCCTGGGTGGGGTTTAGGGGTCCTGGGTGGGGTTTGGGGGCTCCAGGACACACCCAGCCATCATCTTCATCGACGGAGATCGACGCCATCGCCCCACCAAGAGATTCGATGCCCAAACTGGGGGTAAGGGGCATTTACAGACCCTACAGGGGGTTTATGGGGGATTTGGGGGTTTAGAAATCCTAAAGGGGGATTTGGGGGTCCTGGGTGGGGTTTGGGGGCTCCAGGACACACCCAGCCATCATCTTCATCGACGAGATCGACGCCATCGCCACCAAGAGATTCGATGCCCAGACTGGGGAGTAAGGGGCATTTACAGACCCTTAAAGGGGATTTACAGACCCTAAAGGGGGATTTGGGGGTCCTGGGTGGGGTTTGGGGGTCCTGAGGTGGGGTTTGGGGGCTCCAGGACACACCCAGCCATCATCTTCATCGACGAGATCGTAACGCCATCGCCACCAAGAGATTCGATGCTCAAACTGGGGGTGAGACCCTGTGGGGGCTGGAGAAAGATTTAGAGATCCTAAAGGGGGATTTGGGGGGTCCTGGAGGTGGGTTTGGGGGCTCCAGGACACACCCAGCCCATCATCTTCATCGACGAGATCGACGCCATCGCCACCAAGAGATTCGATGCCCAGACTGGGGGTAAGGGATCCTAGAGGGGTTTATGGGGATTTGGGGAGGTTTGGGGGATTTGGGGGGTCCTGGATGGGGCTTGGGGGTCTGGGTGAGAGTTTGGGGGGTCCTGGGTGGGATTTGTGGACGAGAACCTCCTGGAGAAGCTCAAGGTGGGACTTCGAGCCTCGAACTGGGGGTCAAAAACCCCCCTGAAACCCCCCCAAGGAGGGGGTTTGGGTGGTCCTGGAGACCCCCAGACCCTCCTGGAGACCCCCAGGGTGGGGTTTGGGGGGTCCTGGGTGGGATTTGGGGGGTCCTGGGTGGGATTTGGGGGTCCCTGGGTGGGATTTGTGGACGAGGAACCTCCTGGAGAAGCTCAAGGTGGGACTTTGGGGACCCCTTGGGTGGTCCCTGAGTCCTGGGGGCGTTCAGGGACCCCCTGGAGACCCCCAGGAGACCCCCAGGGTGGGGTTTGGGGGGTCCTGGGTGGGATTTGGGGGGATTTGGGGTGGGATTTGTGGACGAGGAACCTCCTGGAGAAGCTCAAGGTGGGACTTCGAGCCTCGAACTGGGGTCAAAACCCCCCTGAAACCTCCCAAGGAGGGGGTTTGGGTGGTCCTGGAGACCCCAGACCCCTGGAGATCCCAGACCCTCCTGGAGACCCCCAGGGTGGGATTTGGGGGCCAGGTGGATTTGGGGTCCTGGGTGGGATTTGGGGGTCCTGGGTGGGATTTGGGGGATTTGGGGTGGGATTTGTGGACGAGGAACCTCCTGGAGAAGCTCAAGGTGGGGACTTTGGGGACCCCTTGGGTGGTCCCTGAGTCCTGGGGGTTCAGGACCTCTGGAGACCCCAAGAGACCCCAGGGTGGGGCTTTAGGGGTCCTGGGTGGGGCTTGGGGGTCCTGGGTGGGGTTTGGGGGTCCTGGGTGGGATTTGTGGACGAGGAACCTCCTGGAGAAGCTCAAGGTGGGACTTCTGGCCTCGAACTGGGGGTCAAAACCCCTAAAACCCCCCAAGGAGGGGGTTTGGGTGGTTCTGGAGACCCCCAGACCCTCCTGGAGACCCCAGGGTGGGGCTTGGGGGTCCTAGGTGGGATTTGGGGGTCCTGGGTGGGATTTGGGGGATTTGGGGTGGATTTGTGGACGAGGAACCTCCTGGAGAAGCTCAAGGTGGGACTTTGGAGACCCCCTTGGGTGGTCCCTGAGTCCTGGGGGTCTCAGAGACCCCTGGAGACCCCAGGAGACCCCCAGGGTGGGCTTTGGGGGTCCTGGGTGGGATTTGGGGGTCCTGGGTGGATTTGGGGATTTGGGGTGGGATTTGTGGACAAGGAACCTTCTGGAGAAGCTCAAGGTGGGACTTCTGGCCTAGAACCGGGGGTCAAAAACCCCCCCTGAAACCCCCCAGGGAGGGGGCTTGGGTGGTCCTGAAGACCCCCAGACCCTCCTGGAGACCCCCAGGGTGGGATTTGGGGGTCCTGGGTGGGATTTGGGGATTTGGGGTGGATTTGTGGACGAGGAACCTCCTGGAGAAGCTCAAGGTGGGGATTTTTGGAGACCCCCTTGGGTGGTCCCTGAGTCCTGGGGGGGTTCAGAGACCCCCTGGAGACCCCCAGGAGACCCCCAGGGTGGGGTCTGGGGGTCCTGGGTGGGGCTTGGGGGTCCTGGGTGGGATTTGGGGGGTCCTGGGTGGGATTTGTGGATGAGGAACCTCCTGGAGAAGCTCAAGGTGGGACTTCTGGCCTCGAACCAGGGGTCAAAAAACCCCCCAAGGAGGGGGTTTGGGTGGTCCTGGAGAACCCCAGACCCTCCTGGAGACCCCCAGACCCTCCTGGAGACCCCCAGAGTGGGGTTTGGGGGGTCCTGGGTGGGATTTGGGGGGTCCTGGGTGGGATTTGTGGACGAGGAACCTCCTGGAGAAGCTCAAGGTGGGACTTCTGGCCTCGAACTGGGGGTCAAAAACCCCCTAAAAACCCCCAAGGAGGGGGTTTGGGTGGTCTGAGACCCCAGACCCTCCTGGAGACCCCAGGGTGGGGGTCCTGGGTGGGATTTGGGGGTCCAGGTGGATTTGGGGGTCCCTGGGTGGGATTTGGACGAGGAACCTCCTGGAGAAGCTCAGGTGGGACTTGGGACCTTGGGTGGTCCCTGAGTCCTGGGTGTTCAGGGACCCCTGAGACTCCAGGAGACCCCAGAGTGGGGTTTGGGGGTCCGGGTGGATTTGGGGGTCCTGGGTGGGATTTGTGGACGAGGAACCTCCTGGAGAAGCTCAAGGTGGGACTTCGAGCCTCGAACCGGGGGTCAAAAACCCCCCCAAGGAGGGGGTTTGGGTGGTCCTGGAGACCCCCAGACCCTCCTGGAGACCCCCAGACCCTCCTGGAGACCCCCAGGGTGGGGTTTGGGGGTCCTGGGTGAGATTTGGGGGGTCCTGGGTGGGATTTGTGGATGAGGAACCTCCTGGAGAAGCTCAAGGTTGGACTTCAAGCCTCGAACCAGGGGTCAAAAACCCCCCCAAGGAGGGGGTTTGGGTGGTCCTGGAGACCCCCAGACCCTCCTGGAGACCCCCAGGGTGGGGTTTGGGGGTCCCTGGGTGGGATTTGGGGGGTCCTGGGTGAGATTGGGGGGGATTTGGGGTGGGATTTGTGGACCAGGAACCTCCTGAAGAACCTCAAGGTTGGACTCGGCCTCGAACTGGGCTCAAAACCTCCCTGAAACCCCCAGGAGGGGGTTTGGGTGGTCCTGAGACCCCAGACCCTCCTGGAGACCCCCAGACCCTCCTGGAGACCCCCAGGGTGGGGTTTGGGGGTCCTGGGTGGGATTTGGGGGTCCTGGTGTGATTTGGGGGTCCTGGGTGGGATTTGTGGACGAGGAACCTCCTGGAGAAGCTCAAGGTGGGACTTCTGGCCTCGAACTGGGGGTCAAAAACCCCCTAAAAACCCCCCCAAGGAGGGGGTTTGGGTGGTCCTGGAGACCCCCAGACCCTCCTGGAGACCCCCAGGGTGGGGCTTGGGGGGTCCTGGGTGGGATTTGGGGGTCCTGGTGGGATTTGGGGGATTTGGGGTGGGATTTGTGGACGAGGAACCTCCTGGAGAACCTCAAGGTGGGACTTTGGGACCCCTGGGTGGTCCCTGAGTCCTGGGGGTTCAAGAACCCCTGGAGACCCCAGGAGACCCCCAGGGTGGGGTTTGGGGGTCCTGGGTGGGATTTGGGGGGTCCTGGGTTGGGATTTGGGGGATCCTGGGTGGGATTTGTGGACGAGGAACCTCCTGGAGAAGCTCAAGGTGGGACTTCTGGCCTCGAACCGGGGTCAAAAACCCCCAGGGAGGGGTTTGGGTGGATCCTGGAGACCCCCAGACCCTCCTGGAGACCCCCAGGGTGGGATTTTGGGGGTCCTGGGTGGGATTTGGGGGTCCCTGGGTGGGATTTGTGGACGAGGAACCTCCTGGAGAAGCTCAAGGTGGGACTTCGAGCCTCGAACCGAGGTCAAAAACCCCCAAGGAGGGGTTTGGGTGGTCCTGGAGACCCCAGACCCTCCTGGAGATCTCCAGACCCTCCTGGAGACCTGCAGACCCCCTGACCCCTCTGTGCCCCCCAGCTGACCGGGAAGTCCAGAGGATCCTCCTGGAGCTCCTCAACCAGATGGACGGGTTTGACCAGAACGTCAACGTCAAGGTGGGGCCTTGGGGGGTCCTGGGTGGTCCTGGGGGGGTCTTGGGTGGTCTTGGGGGGGTCCTGGATGGTCCTGGGGGTCCCAGAGGTGACCTGGGTGGTCCCAGGTGTGCTCAGGTGGCCCCAGGTGATCATGGCCACCAACCCTGGGGACAAGAAGCCCTGGGGGTCTCCAGTGGGTCCTGGGTGGTCCTGGAGGGTCTTGGGTGGTCCTGGGGGTCCCAAAGGTGACCTGGGTGGTCCCAGGTGTGCTCAGGTGGCCCCAGGTGACGGTGGCCACCAACCTTGGGGGACACCTGGACGTGGAGCTCTGGGGGGGTCTCCTGGTCCTGGGGGGTCTTGGGAGATCCTGGGTGGTCCTGGAGGGTCTTGGGTGGTCCTGGGTGGTCCTGGGGGTCTCCCAAAGGTGAGTTCTGGAGGTCCCAAAGGTCACCTGTCCCCCTCACCTGTCCCCAGGTGATCATGGCCACCAACCTTGGGGGTGGACACCTGGACCCAACTCTGTGGGGTCTCCTGGTCCTGGCTGGTCTTGGGTGTTCCTGGGTGGTCCTGGGAGCTCCTGGGTGGTCCTGGCTCATCCTGGAGGGTCTTGGGTGGTCCTGGGTGGTCCTGGAGGTCCCAAAGGTGGTCCTGGAGGTCCCAAAGGTCACCTGTCCCCCTCACCTGTCCCCCAGGTGATCATGACCACCAACCCTGGGGGACACCTGGACCCAACTCTGTGGGGTCTCCTGGTCCTGGCTGGTCTTGGGTGTTCCTGGGTGGTCCTGGGAGCTCCTGAGGGTCTCCCAGGAGTTCTGGAGGTCCCAAAATTGACCTGGAGGTCCCAAAGGTGGTCCTGGAGGTCCCAAAGGTGACCTGTCCCTCTCACCTGTCCCCTGGCCAGGTGATCATGGCCACCAACATTGGGGGACACCTGGACCCAACTCTGTGGGATCTCCAGTGGGTCCTGGGTGCTCCTGGGTGGTCCTGGGTGATCCTGGGTGGTCCTGGGTGGTCCTGGGGGTCTCCCATGAGTTCTGGAGGTCCCAAAGGTGGTCCTGGAGGTCCCAAAGGTCACCTGTCCCCCTCACCTGTCCCCCCCAGGTGATCATGGCCACCAACCTTGGGGGACACCTGGACCCAACTCTTGGGGGTCTCCTGGTCCTGGGTGCTCCTGGGAGCTCCTGGGTGGTCCTGGAGGGTCCTGGGTGGTCCTGGGGGTCTCCCATGAGTTCTGAAGGCCCCAAAATTGACCTGGAGGTCCCAAAGGTCACCTGTCCCCCTCACCTGTCCCCCCCAGGTGATCATGGCCACCAACCTTGGGGACACAAAACCCTGTGGACCTCCTGGTCCTGGGTGGTCCTGGAGGGTCTTGGGTGGTCCTGGGAGCTCCTGGGTGGTCCTGGGAGCTCCTGGGGGTCTCCCATGAGTTCTGGAGGTCCCAAAGGTGGTCCTGGAGGTCCCAAAGCTCACCTGTCCCCCTCACCTGTCCTCCCCAGGTGATGGTGGCCACCAACCCTGGGGACACAAAGCCCTGGGGACCTCCTGGTCCTGGGTGGTCCTGGGTGATCCTGGGTGATCCTGGGTGGTCCTGGGGGTCTCCCATGAGTTCTGGAGGTCCCAAAGGTCACCTGTCCCCCTCACCTGTCCCCCAGGTGATGGTGGCCACCAACCCTGGGGACACAAAGCCCTGGGGACCTCCTGGTCCTGGGTGGTCCTGGGAGCTCCTGGGGGTCTCCCATGAGTTCTGGAGGTCCCAAAGGTGGTCCTGGAGGTCCCAAAGGTGGTCCTGGAGGTCCCAAAGGTCACCTGTCCCCCTCACCTGTCCCCCCAGGTGATCATGGCCACCAACCCTGGGGACACAAAACCCTGTGGACCTCCTGGTCCTGGGGGGTCCTGGGTGGTCCTGAGGGGTCTCCCAGATGTTCTGGAGGTCCCAAAATTGACCTGTCCCCCTCACCTGTCCCCCCAGGTGATGGTGGCCACCAACCCTGGGGACACAAAGCCCTGGGGACCTCCTGGTCCTGGGTGGTCCTGGAGGGTCTTGGGTGGTCTTGGGTGGTCTCCAGGAGTTCCAGGTGGTCCCAGAATTGACCTGGAGGTCTCACCTGTCCCCCCCAGGTGATCATGGCCACCAACCTTGGACCCAACTCTGTGGGGATCTCCAGTGGGTCCTGGGTGGTCCTGGGAGCTCCTGGGTGGTCCTGGGTGGTCCTGGGGGTCTCCCAGATGTTCTGGAGGTCCCAAAATTGACCTGGAGGTCCCAAAGGTGGTCCTGGAGGTCCCAAAGGTCACCTGTCCCCCTCACCTGTCCCCCCCAGGTGATCATGGCCACCAACAGGGCCGACACCCTGGACCCCGCCCTGCTCCGGCCGGGCCGCCTGGACCGAAAGATCGAATTCCCCCTCCCCGACCGGCGCCAGAAACGCCTCATTTTTTCCACCATCACCGGGAAAATGAACCTGTCCGAGGAGGTGGACCTGGAGGATTGTATCCTGGCACACCTGGGGGCATTGGGAACACCTGGGCACACCTGGGCACACCTGGGCACACCTGGGGGCATTGGGAACACACCTGGGCACACCTGGGCACGTTCATCTTCTCCACCATCACCGGGAAAATGAACCTGTCCGAGGAGGTGGACCTGGAGGATTGTATCCTGGCACACCTGGGGGCATTGGGGACACACCTGGGCACACCTGGGCACACCTGGGGGCATTGGGAACACACCTGGGGGCACACCTGGGCACACCTGGGGGCATTGGGGGCACACCTGGGCACACCTGGGGGCGTTGGGGACACACCTGGGGGCACCTGGGGGCATTGGGAACACACCTGGGGGCATTGGGAACACACCTGGGCACACCTGGGCACACCTGGGCAGGTTCATTTTCTCCACCATCACCGGAAAATGAACCTGTCCGAGGAGGTGGACCTGGAGGATTGGATCCTGGCACACCTGGGGGCACCTGGGCACACCTGGGGGCATTGGGAACACACCTGGGCACACCTGGGCACACCTGGGGGCATTGGGGACACACCTGGGGGCATTGGGGACACACCTGGGCACACCTGGGCACACCTGGGGGCATTGGGAACACACCTGGGCACACCTGGGCACACCTGGGCACACCTGGGGGCATTGGGAACACACCTGGGCACACCTGGGCACGTTCATCTTCTCCACCATCACCGGCAAAATGAACCTGTCCGAGGAGGTGGACCTGGAGGATTGTATCCTGGCACACCTGGGGGCATTGGGGGCACCTGGGGGCATTGGGAACACACCTGGCACACCTGGGGGCACCTGGGGGCATTGGGAACACACCTGGGCACACCTGGGGGCATTGGGGACACACCTGGGCACACCTGGGGGCATTGGGAACACACCTGGGCACACCTGGGCACACCTGGGGGCATTGGGAACACACCTGGGGGCATTGGGAACACACCTGGGCACACACCTGGGCACACCTGGGGGCATTGGGAACACACCTGGGCACACCTGGGCACGTTCATCTTCTCCACCATCACCAGGAAAATGAACCTGTCCGAGGAGGTGGACCTGGAGGATTGTATCCTGGCACACCTGGGGGCACCTGGGGGCATTGGGGACACACCTGGGCACACCTGGGCACACCTGGGCACACCTGGGGGCATTGGGAACACACCTGGGCACACCTGGGGGCATTGGGGACACACCTGGGCACACCTGGGCACGTTCATCTTCTCCACCATCACCAGCAAAATGAACCTGTCCGAGGAGGTGGACCTGGAGGATTGGATCCTGGCACACCTGGGGACATTGGGGACACACCTGGGCACACCTGGGCACACCTGGGGGCACACCTGGGGGCATTGGGAACACACCTGGGCACACCTGGGCACACCTGGGGGCATTGGGGGCACACCTGGGCACACCTGGGGGCATTGGGAACACACCTGGGCACACCTGGGCACACCTGGGGGCATTGGGAACACACCTGGGGGCATTGGGGACACACCTGGGGACAATAAGGACACACTTGGGACACACCTGGGGACATTCAGGACACCCCTGGTGACATTGGTGACACCTGTTGGGGACATTGGTGGCACTGGTGACACACCTGGTGACATTGGTGACACCTTTTGGGGACACTGGTGACACCTGTTGGGGACACACCTGGTGGCATTGGGGACACCCCTGTTGGTGACACCCCTGGTGACACTGGTGACAGCTGTTGGTGACACCTGTTGGTGACACACCTGTTGGTGGCATTGGTGACACCTGCTGGGACACCCCTGGTGACACTGGTGATACCTGTTGGGGACACACCTGGTGCCACACCTGGTGGCACTGGGGACACCCCTGGTGGCATTGGTGACATTGGTGACACTCCTGGTGACATTGGTGACACCTGTTGGGGACACCCCTGGTGACACCTGTTGGTGACACCTGTTGGTGACATTGGTGAAATTGGTGACAGCTGTTGGCACTGGTGACACACCTGGTGGCACTGGTGACACACCTGGTGACACTAGTGACACCCCTGTTGGTGACACCCCTGGTGAAACACCTGTTGGTGGCACCTGTTGGTGGCACTGGTGCCATTGGTGACACCTGTTGGTTGCAATGGTGACACACCTGGTGACATTGGTGACACCCCTGTTGGTGACACACCTGTTGGTGACACACCTGGTGACACACCTGGTGGCACTGGTGACACACCTGGTGCCACACCTGTTGGTGTCACACCTGTTGGTGGCGTTTCCTTGATGTGCTGTCCCAGACGTGGCGCGGCCGGACAAGATCTCGGGGGCCGACATCAACTCCATCTGCCAGGAGGTCAGAGGGGATGGGGGGGGACACCCAGGGGACACTGGGGGGGACACAGGTGACTCTCAGGTGACCCAGGAGGTGACAATGATGACCCTGGGGGTGACAGAGGTGACTCTCAGGTGACCCTGGGGGGGGCACAGGTGACTCTCAGGTGACCCTGGGGATGACAGAGATGACCCTGGGGGTGACCCAGGTGACTCTCAGGTGACCCTGGGGGGACACAGGTGACCCTCAGGTGACTCAGGTGACCCTGGGGATGACAATGATGACCCTGGGGGTGACACAGGTGACTCTCAGGTGACTCTCAGGTGACCCTGGGGGTGACTCAGGTGACCCTGGGGGGGACAATGATGACCCTGGAGGTGACTCAGGTGACCCTGGGGGTGACACAGGTGACTCTCAGGTGGCACTGGGGATGACAGAGCTGACCCTAGGGATGACAATGATGACCCTGGAGGTGACTCAGGTGACCCTGGGGGTGACACAGGTGACTCTCAGGTGGCACTGGGGATGACAGAGCTGACCCTAGGGATGACAATGATGACCCTGGAGGTGACACAGGTGACCCTGGGGGTGACACAAGTGACTCTCAGGTGGCACTGGGGATGACACAGGTGACTCTCAGGTGACCCTGGGGATGCCACAGGTGACACAGGTGACACTCAGGTGACACTCAGGTGCCATTGGTGTCCCCAGGGCGGGATGCTGGCCATCAGGGAGAACAGGTGACCCTGGGGGTGACACAGGTGACTCTCAGGTGACCCTGGGGATGACCCAGGTGACACTCAGGTACCATCCCTGTCCCCAGGGCGGGATGCTGGCCGTCAGGGAGAACAGGTGACCCTGGGGGTGACACAGGTGACTCTCAGGTGACAGAGGTGACTCTCAGGTGACCCTGGGGGTGACACAGGTGACTCTCAGGTGGCACTGGGGATGACAGAGCTGACCCTAGGGATGACAATGATGACATTGGAGGTGACACAGGTGACTCTCAGGTGACAGAGGTGACCCTGGGGGTGACAGAGGTGACTCAGGTGACCTTGGAGGTGACCCTGGAGGTGACACTCAGGTGCCATCCCTGTCCCCAGGGCGGGATGCTGGCCGTCAGGGAGAACCGGTGACCCTGGGGGTGACACAGGTGACACTCAGGTGACCCTGGGGGTGACACAGGTGACTCTCAGGTGACACAGGTGCCATCCCTGTCCCCAGGGCGGGATGCTGGCCGTCAGGGAGAACCGGTGACCCTGGGGGGACACAGGTGACTCTCAGGTGACCCTGGGGGTGACACAGGTGACCCTGGGGGTGACCCAGGTGACCCTGGGGGTGACCCAGGTGACACTCAGGTGCCACTGTTGTCCCCAGGGTGGGATGCTGGCCGTCAGGGAGAACAGGTACATCGTGCTGGCCAAGGACTTCGAGAAGGCGTACAAAACCGTCATCAAAAAGGACGAGCAGGAGCACGAGTTCTACAAGTGACACCCCTGGGGACACCCCGGGGACACCCTGGGGACAAAAAAACCCCCAGGACACCCTGGGGACAAAAAAAACACCCCAGGACACCCCTGGGGACAAAAAACACCCCCAGGTCACTTTGAGGACACCCTGGGGACAGTTTATGATCCCCCCCAATAAAGTTTGTGGTGTCTTGGAGATGCTTTGGGGACACCTTGGGGACACCTTGGGGACATTGAGACAACCATGGGGATACCTTGGGGACACTTTGGAGACCCCTTGGGGACATTTGGGGACAGTGGGACACCCTTGGGGACACAGGGAAGGACATGGGGACATCCCTGAGGGCATTGGGACACCTTGGGGACACCCCTGGAGACACCCTGGGGACATGTGGGAGGGATGTTGGGACCCCTGGGGACACTTTGGGGACACCTTGGGGACATGGGGACAGTGGGACACTTGGGGACACTTTGGGGACACCTTTGGGGACATTGAGACACTTGGGGACACCTTTGGGGACATTTGGGAGGGATGTTGGGACCCCTGGGGACACTTTGGGGACATTTGGGGACACCCTGGGGACAAAAAAAAAACCCCAGGACACGGGGGACAAACCCTGGGGACGGTTTGGGATCCCCCCAATAAAGTTTGTGGTGTCTTGGAGATCCTTTGGGGACACCTTGGGGACATCCCTGGGGACAAAAAAAACCCCCCAGGACACCCCTGGGGACAAAAAAAACCCCCCCAATAAAGTTTGTGGCGTCTTGGAGATGCTTTGGGGACATTTGGGGTCATTGAGACAACCTTGGGGACACCTTGGGGACACCTCTGGGGACATTTGGGAGGGATGTTGGGACCCCTGGGGACACCTTGGGGACATTTGGGGACATTGAGACACTTGGGGACCCCTTTGGGGACATTTGGGAGGGATGTTGGGACCCCTGGGGACACTTTGGGGACATTTGGGGACAGTGGGACATCTTGGGGACACCTTTGGGGACATTTGGGAGGGATGTTGGGACCCCTGGGGACACCTTGGGGACATTGAGACAACCTTGGGGACACTTTGGGGACATCCCTGAGGACTTGGGGACACCTTGGGGACATTTGGGGACATTGGGACAACCTTGGGGACACCTTGGGGACATGGGGGACACTTTGGGGACATCCCTGGGGACATGGGGACACCCTGGGGACAAAAAAAAAACCCCAGGTCACGGGGGACAAACCCTGGGGACGGTTTGGGATCCCCCCAATAAAGTTTGTGGTGTCTTGGAGATCCTTGGGGACACCTTGGGGACACCCTGGGGACAAAAAACACACCCCAGGACACCCCTGGGGACAAAAAAACCCCCCCAATAAAGTTTGTGGAGTCTTGGAGATGCTTTGGGGACATTTGGGGACATTGAGACACTTGGGGACATCTTGGGGACACTTTGGGGACTTGGGGACATTTGGGGACATGGGGACAGTGGGACACCCCTGAGGACAACCTTGGGGACCCCTTTGGGGGCATTTGGGAGGGATGTTGGGGACACCCCTGGGGACACCTTGGGGACATTTGGGGACATTGGGGACACCTTGGGGACATTTGGGGACACTTGGGGACACCTTTGGGGACACCTTGGAGACACCTTTGGGGACACCTTGGGGACATTTGGGGACACTTTGGGGACATCCCTGGAGACATTGAGACACTTGGGGACACCTTGGGGACATGGGGGTCACTTTGGGGACACCCTGGGGACAAAAAAAAAACCCCAATAAAGTTTGTGGTGTCTTGGAGATGCTTTGGGGACACCTTTGGGGACACTTTGGGGACATTGAGACCTTTGGGGACACCCTTGGGGACATTTGGGAGGGATGTTGGGACCCCTGGGGACACCTTGGGGACACTTTGGGGACACCTCTGGGGACAAAAAAACACCCCCAATAAAGTTGGTGGCGTCTTGGAGATGCTTTGGGGACACCTTGGGGACATTGGGGACACTGGGACAACCTTGGGGACACCTTGGGGACAGTGGGACATCCCTGAGGGCATTGGGACACCTTGGGGACACCCCTGGAGACACCCTGGGGACATTTGGGAGGGATTTGGGGACACCTTGGGGACACTTTGGGGACAGTGGGACACCCTTGGGGACACCTTGGGGACATCCCTGGGGACATTGGGACACTTGGGGACACCTTGGGGACATTGGGACATCCCTGGGGACACCCTGGGGACATGGGGGGCACCTTGGGGACATTGGGACACCCCTGGGGACACCCTGGGGACAAAAAAACCCCCCCAATAAAGTTGGTGGAGTCTTGGAGATGCTTTGGGGACACCTTTGGGGACACCTTGGGGACTTTGGGGACACTGGGACAACCTTGGGGACATTTGGGGACACTTGGGGACAGTGGGACACCCTGGGGACACCTTGGGGACCCTTTGGGGGCATTTGGGAGGGATGTTGGGGACACCCTTGGGGACACCTTGGGGACATTGGGGACACCTTGGGGACACTGGGAGGGATGTGGGGACACCCTGGGGACATCCCTGAGGACATTAGGACACCCTTGGGGACCTTTGGGGACACCTTGGGGACATCCCTGAGGACATGGGGACACTTGGGGACACCTTTGGGGACATTTGGGGACACTTTTGGGGACATTTGGGAGGGATGTTGGGACCCCTGGGGACACTTTGGGGACACCTTGGGGACATTGAGACACCCTTGGGGACACCTTGGGGACACCTTGGGGACATCCCTGAGGACATTGGGACACTTGGGGACACCTTGGGGACACAGGGACATCCCTGGGGACACCCTGGGGACAAAAAAACACCCCAGGACAACCCTGGGGACAAAAAAAACCTCCCCAATAAAGTTGGTGGTGTCTTGGAGATGCTTTGGGGACACCTTGGGGACATCTTGGGGACACTTTGGGGACAGGGGACACCCTTGGGGACATTGAGACACTTGGGGACATCCCTGGGGACATCTTGGGGACATTGAGACACTTGGGGACACCTTGGGGACACCTTGGGGACATTTGGGAGGGATGTTGGGACCCCTGAGGACACCTTGGGGACATCCCTGGGGACATTGGGGACACCCTGGGGACACTCTTGGGGACATTGGAGACACTTGGGGACACTTTGGGGACATTTGGGGACAGTGGGACGCCCTTGGGGACATCCCTGAGGACATGGGGACATGGGGACAGTGGGACACCCTTGGGGACAGCCCTGGGGACACCTTGGGGACATTTGGGGACATTTGGGGACACCTTGGGGACATTGGGACACTAGGGACACCTGGGACATGGGGACACTTTGGGACACCCTGGGGACAACAGATATGGGGACAAACCCTGGGGACAGTTTGGGACCCCCAATGATTGTGGACTTGGAGATGCTTTGGGGACACCCTGGGGACACCCTGGGGACAAAAAACACCCTTGGGGACACCCTGGGGACAAAAAACCCCCCCAGGACACCCCTGGGGACAAAAAAAACCCAATAAAGTTTGTGGAGTCTTGGAGATGCTTTGGGGACACCTTGGGGACACCTTGGGGACA